TAAAATCTCATAATATAAGGTTGATAAACTCTTTATTGTTTAAATAAATAATTCACGAATGGAAGGTCATTATGTTATAAACGTATTGTGATCATAGCTGTTTGTGGGTCACTATATATATACATGTATATAACGAATTGTGGGACAGGCGATTGCATAAAATATATAGTGTAGAATCTCATAATATTAGTCTGCTATCCTATATGTTGAATCAATAAAAATACGTTACGGATTGGACATTATGGAATCAATGCAGTGATTATACCTGTATAATTACTTTCAAAAATAAGAATTCAATGCTTAAATGTGGTTCACTATATATATGTATATAAGAAAATCTGGGATAAGTAGGTGTATAGATAAAATATGCCGTTCAATATCTAACATTGCTTAATGAATAAATAAATTATAAATAATACATTGTGGGATGGACATTATTTGATTAATCATCTTTCTCACTATATATATGTAAGAGATTGTGGTATATATACATATATATATATATATATATATATATATATATATATATATATATATATATATATATATATATATATTGTGGGATATATATATAGAGAGAGAGAGGATATCCCTAAAATATCTTGTTAAGAATCTCATAAATCGTATATCGCAGTGAGTCATTAATATGCAATATGACCCCAAAATACTTGAAAAGTAATAATAGTTAAAATCTTATATTGAATCCCTCAAAACTGTTCTTAATGATTCATTCTATTTTGTACATATGTAAATATACATATATATATATTATTTATATCAAATATTAATTCTTATGTCTTACATTGTGAAATCCAGGACATGATATATATAGCATGTGATAATATTGTGGGTCATAATATTCATAAATAGAACATTGTGCGATGTATATACTTTATCCCACAATGCTCTATATATATGAAAATAATGACCCACAATGATATACAACATTTTTAATCTTATCTCAAAAATTATATTATATATTATATAAGGACCATATATAACGCTTAAATCATGAATATGACATAGCTATCCAATGCAGAAATGCGAGATCCCACAAACCTGTTTAGAAGGTCGTTGCCCACAAACAACCTCATATACCTATATATATATATATATATATATATATATATATATATATATATATATATATATATATATATATATATATATATATCTCCGTGTCAAGGCGATTTCGTGTAAAGTAATGAAAAAAAAAAATAAAATAATTACATTTATACGCTCGTATTTTAAATATTTAAAACAATAATATATTATGTGTCATTTCTATTTTTCATTATGATTTATTGAGCAGACGTCTACATGCATCTCTAGATGGCCGTGATTATACTCGGACAAGATCATGATGATACAAAGATACATATTCATATTATTTGTTATAAATTCAATTTTCAGAACTTGATATTTAAGTAATATGGTGTTATAGTTTTTATTAAACAGACAAATATGAGAGAGAGAGAGAGAGAGAGAGAGAGAGAGAGAGAGAGAAATATTCAGTTTTAGCCCCCCTCCTTTCAGGCTTCACCAAATGTTTGTACCTATATCAAACAAAAACTCGGAAATTGTTTTCTAAATATTTCAGACAGTGAAAGTAACTTTTTTTTTTTTATCAACAAATCATATCCATTTGTTTGACAGTCATACTCGTTTTTTATTTCCCTGCTTCAAGTTCACACGAAGTCCACGTGCTTGTCCTGTCAATCAAAATCATTCGACACTGTGCAGGTGTGAAAGTTTCGTCACATCGAAGACGAAGTGCGAGTATTTCCAACAAGTTATAATATTTATTTTTATCATTTCTAGATTTGATTCCAGCATTTGAATAATAAATTAGTAAAATACATTACGCTTTAACACTTGAATGTGAAACATACTCTCTGCCAATTTCAAATACCACCGCCGACACGTGTACATTTTGATCTACTATTGTTTTGTGACTTTTTTAGATGCATGTTTGTTTTGAAACTGAAATTTTTGTTCTAAAAAAGACCGTAGCTTTTTTTTTAAATGTTAATTAAAACATTCTGGAAATATGGTACTGACTAAGTCACCGATTTAGGAGGAAAGGGGGGGGGGGTATTAATCATATCGATTAGCTAACATATAAAGTTACGGTGAAGAAAGTTTTTTTTTTTCTCTATAACTATAGACTTTACACATTACAGTAGAGAAATTCTGTAGTGCATTACATTTTAAATAAATATTTCCTTTAACTATACTATAAATTTAATTCGTTTTAAAGATAATAAATTAACAGGATATCCGCAGTACTATGTATAACTCTCAGAACTAGTACTAGTTCTATTATATTTTCTGTAGTAATTGAAAAAAAAAAACGTATTAGAAATAAATATTTTCGTAATTTTTATCTGCGTAATAATTTGACTTGAATAATTATATCTCCATTAATGATTTGCCGTCTTTAACAAAACAACAAAATGTTGCAGTATTTGCACATTGCCCTTAGTTAAATTTAATATTTCAGCATCGTTCTACATAGGTACAGAATGTGCTTGTAACAACATTTATTTTCCAGAGTAATTTAATAAATAACCTAACAGCTAAGTTAAAATAATAAAAATATATATCGTAGATATTTTTCCTCATGAATTAATGATTCTTCAAACACGATATGTTAGTTAATAAATTTAAAAAAAACCTGTAACTCTTTAACTACAAAAAGATAAGTCCTTTCACTTCGGAGTTCCGAATGGCAATGAAAACTGAACGATAGGTGAACGCTGAACGCAAGGTGAACGCAAAGTGAACGGAACGAAGAGCGAACGCTGAACGCTTTGTGAACGGTGAACGCGAGCGCACTGTGAACGGTGAACGCAAAACTGTGAACGGAGAGCGAACGGTGAACGCACGGTGAATGAACGGTGAACGCACGCTGAACGAACGATGAACGAACGGTGAGCGAACGGAGAGCGAACGGAAAAATGGGAAAGTAGAACGTTTCAGGGACTGTAAAAGTCGTTTCTTGAACTGTGAAATTGATTGTTTTGTTTTGTGTTGATCAGAGGTGTTCCTCTTATGCCGAATAATTTCACACTCGATTAAGCCTTTAAAGGTAGCATTAGGGTGTGCACTACTGCGATGTAGGTACATACATGTAAATGTTTCGGTGGGTTTGATGTAAATTTCGAAGTCTAAGACTCCAGTCTGTTGAAATCTCTGCCCTTTGTGTACTTTTGTGTCCAAGAACACAGTCCCATTCATGTGAATATTGTAAGTAAATTTTAGGTATTTGTGCTCCAGATTTGCACGTTCAATAAGCTGCAGCATTTCACTTTCTGTGGCATCCATGATCATGAAATTGTCATCCCTATATCTGAAGTGAGTTACAATTTTGTTTCTATTGTTGTATTTTTGGATAATATTTTCAAGGATATCGAAAACGAAGAGGAACATATATCGGGGGAGGCGAACTGCTCCCATGTTGGCCCTTCGTATTTGTTAATACAGATGCAGTGGAGGATTTAAAAGTGTCAAAGTTAGCCCTTACAAAATCTCTAGAAATCCAGGAACTTCCGGGGGCTTCCCCCCCCTGGGCCCCCACTAGGGCTTCGCCAGACCCCATGCCTACTTTTTGCTTCAATTCCTGGATCTGCGCCTGATATGACCATCAAATTCAAATTCGTTGTTATCAAGCAGAATTTTTAATTATTTAATTAAGTGATTGGTATCTGGGATTGGTATTGTAACATCATTTTGTTTTAATTTTGTGAGTGCTTTTGCTGAAGATTGGATGAGTTCCATGGCTGTAATGTTTATATACATGGAAGTTACGTCATAAGTTACAAGACAGTTATCAGGTAACAAGTGTAGGGATTCAACTTTGTTGATAAAGTCTTTGGTGTCTCTAACATATGTGTGGTATTTTTGTACTAATAGTACCAGGAAGTGATCTACAAAATGGCCGATTGACATTGCAGGAGAAGAGCATTGAGAGATAATTGTCCTCCCTGGTATAATCATTCCGAAGACCTTTTGAAATTTATTTTAATTTAATTAAATATTATACTTTTCTCAAAATAGAAAACACGTTTTGTGCTGGTGTATAGAGGGTCCTTAAATTCAAAGGCTAAACCACTTGCAGTTAAAAAGAAATATGAACAAATATAAAAGTCTTGATTATTTAGAATGGGTTTAGTCACTAAAATGTTTATTTTGCAATAAGTGTAGCTTCTACAAAGCCATGTGTTTGTAAATGGCGAATCCCACCTCTCACATATACAAGGGGGTGTTTCACAGAGGGAAATGCAAATCAGTTGACATGCATTAACCAAATTTCCATGTAGGGTGCTTTTATTATTCAGATTCTTAGTTGTAAATTCAGTAGAACTTGTCAGCATTTTCATTCTTTGTTACAAAAGGAAAAACCAAGAACTATTTTCTATGAAAACATACTTATATTCCATTATGAAGCTTACATGTTTAAATATGAAATATACAACACATATAATACAGTAGGAGTTCAATGTGTTATATTTAATAGTAAACAAATCATACAACTGTTGTGTTTCATTTGTAATCAATTGATAAAAAGACAAAAAAACTTGACACTGGCATATATTAAATATAAGTATTGACCAAAGCAAATAAAAATCCAAAGAAATCAAAGCAATACTTCAAAGAATCTGATGTTAAGTGTATTCCAACAATACCAACATTACAATTCCTAGTCTTCGAAGTCTCTTTATGTTGGGCATATGCTTACTTCAAAATGAAATGATAAACTGTATCAAATTGTAATACTTGTCAATTGCTGTGGATTGATTTTTCCCTGTAAAGTTCATTCATAGCAATAAATTACAAATTTAAAGTACTTGTTTATAGGAAAAAAGAAAAAAAAAAGGTACAAATGTTCTCTTGAATATACAAAATATTTTTGTCTTTTCATTTTTTATTGCTTATTGATGAAATAATGTTCACAATTATAAAAAAAAAAAAAAAAAAAAAAAAAAAAACTGCACTAATCATTTATCTTTCAAAACATTTTCAGCCTTTGATTCTCTAGATTTCATCTCCTTGGGGTTCAAGCAAATGTAAGAATTAGGGCTAATGATCCAATAATTAATCACATTGCAATGTGGGAGATTCATGCCTCTTTCATCTACGATGTCATTCCAGATCATCTCCAGAACTGGCAGGAGGGGAGAAAATCCTCCTAATTTTGCAAGTTCCTCATTGTAACGAAATTGTCGATCAACATCTCCCATAAAATGGGCAAAAGATGGCGGCTTTCCTTCCTTCAGACGGGACTGAAAATCTGCTTCGCTATCTGCTTTCATTTCCTCTTTAGATAGGAGGTTAACTTTTCCTGCGAGCATTAAAGCAGCAAGTTTTGCCATTTCATAGTAATGGGGAAAGTATAACAACTGCCGAGGAATTCCAACAAAAATCAGACTGGGATACTCGATGTGAAACATATGCTTGTATAATGGTTGAATGCGCTCGTCTTTAATCGTTATGATGTCTTCCTTGAGAAAGGGGAATGAGAATCGATATCCGGTACAGAATATGACTGCATCAACCCTTTCAGAAGTGCCATCGGAGAACACTACCGAATCTTTTGTCATGCGGACAAAAGGAGGTCTTTGTTCGATTTCCTTTGGAAAGACGGAGGGAATTCTTTTGGATTTCGTCTGTGACATGCAAACATCTTTGCGAGAGATATAAAACTATACATGGGTTTAAAAATGTATTAATCAGCTATTTGAACCAGTATCGCAAAAAAGTATGTGATAATGATATTATGAACCAAGACATATATTTTTTTTTTAAAATACATTGTAAAAATGTTATACATTTACAGAAAAAGCCGTCGTTACGCAGTAACATGTTAGCGTTTTCTTTCCAAAATTTCGATAATTAAATTAGGTTTTCGATAAAAAAAAAAAAGGATATGAAGAGTCAATCCTGTAATCATAAAAGTGAATAAGGGAAGGTGTATTAGGCTCATACTTTTTTTGGCAAACTTTGTCACATGCATTGAAATGTCCTCCCCCGATCAGTGACAGCCAAGGATAGCAACGCGAAGACCGTCAAAGTGCTCCTCATATCTAACCTCCTTGCTGTGTATTATTCTTCTCTCAAACAACTCCATTCCTGGGATATCTGGTGCGTACTCATTGGCATCATGTCTAAAAATTATAGAAAAAAAAGAAAAAATCTAAATATGTTATTTTTCTTAAAAAATAATTAGAATGTATAATTATTAACATTGGTTACTTTAAATAAAGAAAAATGTTATTCTTATCAAAATTAATAAATTAAAGAAAATTCAATGAAAAAGAAAAAAAGAAGAAGCCGAGTTTCTCAAAGGAACATGTGGGACCCATTTTCGGAAAAAATACAATAAATAAATCAATAAATAAATAAAAATAATAAAAATCATCAAAAAACTATAATAATGTCCCTTAATGATGATAATAACAGGTGACTCTAGATCTCTCGAAGTTCAAGGGACCGTAAGAAAAGTTCGAGAGATCGGGGGGTTCGAGAGATAGAAAGTGAATAAGGTCCGGAATTTTCAGGTCCCATCATCATTGTTCTGCTATTATACACACCGGAAGTATATGTTGATAATGTCATTACACGTTTCCATTCGTATTTTACAGGTAAGTCACTTGATTTCAACAAAAAATGATCGTATTTTGAATAAATAAAATCCGATTATTTTAATTTTCAATATTTATTTGTTCTCATTTCATGATTACATGAAACCTGAATAGTAATTGTCGATTTAGCTATCCCCCGGGCTTGATCGGTCCTTCACAAGATTGTTCGTAATCGGTATTCATTTCTTGAGATAGGATTTCTTGTTCAATGTTTGCCAAACTAGCTGGAATTGTGTAGACTCTAATAATATTAAAGTTCATAATCTCTGGAAAATTACTGACACGTCCCTCAATTATTTTCTCAACATTATCGTCTCGTCCAGTCAAAATAAGTTTTGAAGCGATTTGTTTATAATTTACAATTAACCAATTAATTATATCAACACTCGGACGACTCACAGGTGTATTATCATCCCAATTAACACGTCTATCCCAGCCCCAGGCGTTCACTGTTATTCAGGTAAGTCTAAGCTGCATTAATTTTACGCTTGATTGACGTGTTTACCTGCGCAATCAAAACTTCGAGAGACAGAGAGTAAAAAACAATGAAATATGTGTAACGAGACCCAGGTCTTGGTTTGAGAGATAGAGAACTTCGAGAGACCGGGCGTTCGGAGAGATCAGGACTAAATTTGCTTAGTTATATAGAGGGAAAAACGGGACCGGAAGTTCACTTCGAGAGATCGGAGTTCGAGCCATGGAGCGTCACCTGTATATAAAGCACAGGGAAATTCACAACACAGGGATACCCCAACCGCCCAAACCCGGGATTTAGCTTGACCTGTGGAACCAGCTATATCCTAGCAGATGCAGGAACAACTACTAGAAGGTTCTCCCAACTAACAACTAGCGATGGCGATAAAATTCTAATGTCTTCAAAGTTATTGAGAATGAAAGTGAAATACAGCATATTGAACATAAGTTTTATTAGAGGATTTCTATTAATACTCATTAAACAGATTATATTTGTTTTCTTTTGTAACACACCTGCACTAACAATGAACTCCGATCCCTAACCAATAGAGCTGCATTAAGTAAAGAATTAATAATCAGAAAGCACAAATTTACAGCACAAGGATACCCACTATCGCCAAAACCCGAGAATGGAAAGAAGGTAGTTGAACATTTGCTTTTTTTATTATTATTACCGAAACCCATTGAACAGATGATATTTTTAGTATCTTAAAGCACTTTAAAATGAATACCTTAACAAATATAGCTGTCCTAAGTAAAGAATTATCAATATAAAAAGCACAGGCGAAAAATGCAATACAAGGATACTCACTACCACCCCAGGCCGGGATTGAACTCTCGACCCGCGGAACCTGTCTCCTAACATTTTAGAATAAAGTTCTTGACCGCTAAATCAATTTGGACTTGATTTTGATGGCAATGGAATTTCCGCGGAACTCTCCACTTCATACTGTCTTTGAGAGTGGAAGTGTGAAATATCTATTTGATCAATAATTTTATCAGAGGATCATTACCAATATCAATGACATAGAGAAACAGTTTTCTGTCTAGTGTAAAGTGCCGCTGCGAGAATTCCATCGCCATCAAAAGCAAGTTGATTTTAACTTGCCTATTTGGTCACGCGGTATTGTATGGTGTTCCTACACTACAAGACGACAGGTTGTAACGGTAGTGATTGTCCTTGTATTGTGAATCTCTCTCTCTTCTTTCTGAGAGAGAGAGAGAGATACAGAGTATTAAAAAGAATCCTTTATGAACATACCCATTACATACGAGAACAGAATCAAACACTTCCGTTTTGATCTCTGACAATTTGGTTACAGGAGAAAAGGTCACCAACCATTTAACATGGCAGTTTTCCTGGACTTCTTTCAGCGGCCTAACGTCTCGAACAAAGGTATGTGTCTGTAATATGATCAGTTCAAAAAGGATGCAAAAAATAGCGATGCATTTCAGACATGCATGTAATTGTACTAGAAGACTTGGTATGTGGACCACATACTTTTAATATTTACGTCCATATGACTGGGTACTTTCAGAAACAAATCAAGACAGTACCTATACTGAAAATGATATCAGTGTAGCATAATATTATAAAACTTTAAAAGGATTAAATATCATTCTTTTAATATCAATGGAAATAAATATTTGTAATGGAATTTTTATCACAAACATCACAACGAAAAGAGTACTGGATACTCTGTACGGGGTCACTGATTTTGCTGTTGTTATAAAAGTATACGTCTTTTTGTACCGCAAAACATTCATATCCTACATGTAATAATACCACCAGAATTGCGATTATATAGTTTAATCCTATAATGCCAGTTTTGAATGAACATACTTACCTTTATGAAACGTCTGAGCTTGAAGTGGTCCACGAACATGTTGAGATATTGCAGACATTGCTGGCGTGATATAAAGGATGTAGTCCATTCCTTAGGATAGGGGAAACCTGGGAACTCCTGTAGTTCCTTGGGAAGATTTATTCTTTGGAAAAGGTAATTATTAGTTAAGAAGCAGCTCATTGTTATAACCATTACAGAACCAGACATTGGTAAGTACACATCATCTGATTTAGTGTCCAAAATAATTAATTTAAAGCACTGTCGTAACAACGAAATTTGTCTAAACGTAAAGTTAATTACGTGAGGCTCCTATAGGCTCTAGTTTTCTTGCAGTTCATGAAAGTTTGCCGACAGTTTATTTTTTTTTTTTTTTTTTTTATTTTATTTATTTATTTATTTATTTATTTAAGATAGAAAATACAAAAATAAAGTTCAAGAAAAAAAAATTAAGTTTGCTTCAAAAGTTTAATTAAAATTTTCTGAAGGGTGCAAAGCATATACTATACCCAGAAATATACATAGAGCTTTGTTTCGAAATTTATTTACACTAAAAAAAAATAGTTATTTTCCTCTCAACCTTTACAGTATGAAAGTGTTGATCAAAGAGATTTGGGCTACTTTACTATTTGTAAAATCAAACTTTTATTATTTTGTCTTTATCTAAGAGAGACGTACAAGTACAAATACTAACTTCAGGCTGTTGTATAGAGGAGAGTGTATCGGGAATCCGAAATCGTCTTTCTTTGTCTGGTCAGTGTAGTTCCATAATCCACAAGGCCAAAAATTACGCTCAAAGGCAACAGGTTCAAAGATTTCAGGATTATCACTTAGGTGCTAAAAAGAAAAAAAAAGTGTTTTAAGACTGGTTCTTTCTTTTCAATTTTTATTTACTTATGTTTTTTTATAATATATTCGATCAGAGTTTAATTTAGAAAAAAAATTCAATTTTTCATAACTATTCATTCTTTTATTTACGATTTCTTAAGCAAGAGTATAAACTTCATAATAAATGACTTCGTCATTTGAAAAAAAGTTCAAGGAATTTGTTTAATTTTTCACAGTTTGTCGAGACTTTGAAATGGGAAAGTTTTATACATAACACAAGAAAATGGCGACGTTTGATGACGCTACGGCTCACCAAGCAGCAGTTCCGTTGAGTAGTGACGTATTATGGGATATTAAATGATAACAAAAGATGACAAAATATAAAAATATTACTAATACATTAGAATACAAGTGGAATGGACATTTTTAAGCTGAAGCTTTTTGATCAAGTTCTCCGGTAGATCGAAACATACATACAATCAGCTATTTGCAATAATGAAACATGGAGTTGTTTTAGACATTTTGACGTTATCATCTCTGCACCGTTAGAAGATATCGCACACAACACAAAATCCCATATTTTGTTTATTTAAGCTCTTTGAAATTCGCTATATGTAATGAAGAAAAGTATAAAAAGGAATAGTGGGTGTTTCAGAAAAAAAAAAGTGTTGATTATTTTTGTTTTGCTCTTAGCTTCTTGTCCGCGATTTTATTAGGCAACCGTTGTAAAAACTACACTTTAAAATGACCGAGAAAATTAATAAAGTGTTGATATCTTTTTTAAAAGCATGAGTTTTGATGAATGGGGATTCTTCTATTTGCATATTTATATGTCGGGCCCCTGCTCAGTTCAATGAAAACAAAGTCAATTGCATCAGCTGTTTGTCATTTGAG